TTCAGCCAGTTGCATATCAGAGTTTTGGGCATTTAGATCATCTATCCGACCATGCAAATGTCCACTGTGTTCTTTCCAGATTACTAACTTGGTTCCGTTATATCTCGGCTTATTGGACATGAAGAGGATGTCATCNCGTTATATCTCGGCTTATTGGACATGAAGAGGATGTCATCGTTGTCGTCCAGAAGGTTCGACAGTATAGTAGCCTCTATATTGGTGGAGTTCGTGGCTTTTTCCTTGTAAGTTAATTTGCATTATTATAACGTTATCATTGAGCCTGCAGATTGTTTTGAATCTCTTTTCTATCCATTCTCGTTTCTATGTGTTATTATATATTCCTCCTAGATATAATATGGAACCTTAATAGGTGGTGTGCCTGGAAAAATTCCGAGAATTGAACCAGTAAAGAGTTTTTGATTTGCACACAAGATGGACAATGTGTGCAATGAATACTTCATCCTCGTTATTAGGAGAATATTCAGAATAACGATGGACCCCTATCATTTCCGATTTATCTACTACATAATGCGTTTTCTTGGGGTAAGGTCTCTTCATAATTACTCAACAAGCTGTAAGCCGAACTTTATTTAATTCTTCAAACTTTGACTTGTAGTACTATTAGATTTTCAGTTTTGCAGTTTAACTTCTTGATTTTTTGCCTAGAGGTGATTACAATGCCATTTTTATTTGTAGGTTCTGCTGCCTTTTCTCTATGAGATGGGGGAGTTTGAGTTTATCCCAACTGGTTTGTTGCTAATTTATTTCAACATTCTGGTTTGTCTCCGGCTCCCATCAACAACTTGCTTGTGTGAAATGATTTGGCGACTGTGGCTTTGAAATTAACCGTCTTTTAATCCATGAGTTCGATGTCTAGTTTCAAGTAAAATAGTTTTTACATATGCTGCTCTACAGGAGGGCTGGGGATTCACGGAATGCTTGATATCGGTACAAATGTGCTCGTTTTCACTTTCCTTATCATTAGTATCTGGCGTAAATGGGCAGCCAGGGGTCGTGCATGGAGGTTGGCCGTTATACGAGCATGGCGTAGTTAAGCCACGAGTTCAGATGAATCTTTAGATTTGTGTTGTTTGTATCACAAATTCACCTGTGGACTGTGTCATTACTTTGTAAATTAGCTGCTTCTCACATTATATAGGTTTGTTACATACCTGGTTTAAGTTTAAAGTTTGATGTTGATGAGAGCATCATATTGGCAACTTTTTATCAGTATTTGTCTTTTTTGAAAATTACACCTTCGGCCTCCAATCTATTCTCTCAAATAGCAAGATGATACTTTGTGAACGAATTATGTTATCCAATATCAGTATAGATGATAGTACGAGGCTATCCGAACTTGTGCAATGAATCTAAACCGATGCTAAGCATTGAAGCTAGGTAACATTATCAGGTGAGAAATGGTGTAAGTGGTACTCAATCTTATCTGTTCGTTTTTTGAGTAATACTATTCCTTATTGAGTAGTCACATGTCTGGGCGCACTTATAAGTTGGCAAAAAGTAATTTTGGACCGTTGATGCGTGCAACGTTCAATCTTTCACCAAATGAACTACTTCAATGTCGACACTTTTTCTGTGGACTGACTTCAATGTCGACACTTTTTTCCGCTTAAGCCCTTTCATTTGAATTTCCAGCACATATATTGCAATAATTAGAGGGTAAATATGACTTTTGGACATGTTGCTTTGCTTTGAAGGATAAAGACTACATCACGTGGGCCCGGCTAAAACGACCCATTAATTGATTGGCATAAGTAATTGCACCCAGACACACGTCATACTTATATAATGATCATTAGTTCATGTGGTAGTTGTATTTATAACCACGGCATTCGACTAAATGGTAGTGGTCAATATAAATGAAAGACATTATTCTTCAATAATGGTTGTGATGTATTAAGAATTTAAGAGAGAAATTATAATATGTCCCTGTTTGACACTCATTTTTTTCTTTTTTTCTTTCTTCATTTCAATCACACATTCTATTAATAAAATAATATTACATATAAACCCAAAAATTCTCTTTATTTTTTAACCATACATTTTTCAATCAATCACTATTCCAAAATTTATTCTTTCTCCAAAATGAGTGTGTGTCTGGCCGCACTTAAAAGAGAAAATTGGACCATTGATAAGGAGAAAATGGACTGTTGCCTTTCAATTATTCTGCAAGAACTCTGGCATGGCAGCTAGAACA